AAACACAAACAGGAAGGGACGGAGGATTTTCCAAAGGGAGTGAGTTAGGACCTACAGTCTCTCACCAAGTGGAGAAGTAAGGTGTGTCAGTGTGTTCCTGCCAGGAGCAACATTCAAAACATCACACACGTTTTATTATGTACTCCATTGTAGTAATGTCTGTCTTTCTCAATCAGTGAAATTGAKGAYGGAAAAAWATCKGCTTCCTTAACTTTGCTTAATCATTTCATCATATAGGCAAGTCTGCACATTTAAACTGCATGATATTGTCATATTAGCCAAGTATTGCTGTGTTATGCGAACATACAGTAGCCTACTTTGTTTTTCTTAAATGCCAGAAGTTATTCTTTTATCACACTAAAGCTGAAAACACATTTTTGTTGTCAAAGACAGACATTTAACTAAAGCAATATATATATATATATGACAAAGATGTCAGATGTCTGATATCTTGCCTCTCTCTCTCTCTATCTGGTCTTTAACCATTTTCTGCAAGAAGTTGTGTTGCTAATTTTATTATTATTTTTTTTTTTTTACAGGCACATGTCATTGGTGACTGAGGAGACCAGCCAAACGCTGCTGTCAAGTACTCACTCTTTCTTTCTCCCCCTTTTCTTTCTCCACTCCCACTGTTCATAGTTCATAGTTCACATGCAAAAGACTTGTTTTCAAGCTAGACTGTTCAGTTACACTGTTCTAGATGGTACTTTAATGCAGTGTTACACTGTTCTAGATGGTACTTTAATGCACTGTTACACTGTTCTAGATGGTACTTTAATGCATTGTTACACTGTTCTAGATGGTACTTTAATGCACTGTTACACTGTTCTAGATGGTACTTTAATTCAGCGTCTGAGGTTATGCTCTTGAGTTCAGTAAAGTCTGTCACTAATGATTGAATTGGAGACAGTTTCTTCCAAATATGGTAATGCAATACCTTGTCATTATTGTAATACAAATGTTCTCAATGTTACRAATCTTACAAAGTCTGCTGTACWAATGAGCARTTTGTAATAAACTACAGCAATGTTATGGAATGTATATTCTCTTGTGTTCTATACCAGGGTTCTCAAACTTATTACTTAAAGGTCTGCATCTGATTTTATACAAGGTCAGAGGTTAGGAATGATTGGCAAAAACAACAAAATGTAATCACTTCATTTATGATTATGTCTCTTCATTGAGCCAGCATGCATAGAAACCCTATGTTAGATAGAAACTGAGGCAGACACAGCTCAGACAGTTTGGTAGAAGTTATTAAGTGAAATAAGTTATTAAGTGAAATAAAATATCAGCTGAATAAGATTAAAGTGAGAGCTCTATACTATCGGTTCTGGGAAACGGTGTTAAAGTTAATGCTCTGCTCTGTGAGTTCTGGTTCTTGAAAACAGAAAGAGTAAGCGCTCCTTGTACTGTCCACTCTTTGCTACTCTCCTCCTATGTATCCTCCGCTAGCTTAACCAGCTACTTTTCTTCATTTGAGCACAGACAGATGYACAGTGATGAATGCATGTTGTTGCTGAATGTGTTTCTGATCCGCTCTAAGCACTAGAAGGCTAGACATTATTAAAATACAAGGAAAGTCAAGCTCTGTGTTTATTGTAGGACTTCTGGATGTTGACTGGCTGTCGGGATGAATGTGGTAACCTAGGGCTGGGTATTTAAAAGGCCCTGCATACTTTGGTTTTAAATGGGTGAGGATTTATAATGTGCAAAAATAGCAGATTTTATAACACACTGGCATCTACTGTAAAATTACTGTAGCTGATGTTCATAATTTATCATTGATTATGTAATTATTGTCAATTGGTACACGTTTCAGGTGTATTGTTGTTTGAGAGGGCTGTCAACCTTTATTTTGAAAGTATGACTTTTATTTTGACATGCTGTGTTCGCTGCGCTGCTCCGGAGAGTGAGAAGTAAACCTACGAAGGTGAAGAAGTGCTTTAGCTAATACAGTAAAATTAAGAACCAATTTAACGAGGTAACGAGGTAATTAATGTGTTTGTCTGTATTTTACTTTGCACGTGTTTCATTTTGTTGTTGTAATGCTATCGCTAACACTTTGTGTATATGTATGTTATAGTTTTCACGGTGGATTTGGAGGAAGATTCAAATAAATCAGTACCAAGAAAGCCACTTGTGTTGTCCGTGCCTTGAGGGAATTACAATTACCATAACCCACAGTTCTCCTACTGTCACGTACTGTAATCCAAAATACGGAAATATACTGTTAAATAAATTACACTATATGCGCTGTAAAATTACTAAAACACTGTTCTCCTACCATCATGTACTGTAATCCAAAAAACGGTAATATACTGTTAGATAAATTACGGTAGATGTGCTGTAAAATAACCACCAAACACCCACTGTTATTCTACGGTCATATACTGTAATCCAAAATACGGTAATATACTGTTAAAATAAATAACAGTAATTTCACTGTAAAATAACAGTAAAATGCTGCCAGTATTTTACTGTTATTTCACAGTGAAATTCTTTACAGTGTACACTGTCAAGAACTCCATATCCTTCATTTTTGCTAACAACTGATGTGGTAGCTCTCCTTATCAGTGCTCTTTAAGTGTGTTTTTGTTAGGTTGTCTGTTCGTACACTTTACATTTTGAACTTTCAATTCGACCTACAACCCCAAAGCTCTTCTGACCATTGGAATACAGCAAAACCAGACAGTTGAATTCACTCACGCAACATACCAGAGGAGATAGCCAGAACACTGGGCTCTCCTAAATTGATTTCGGCTCTGGGAGGCAGAGAGCACAGGAAGCAGAAGTGTCTACTTGGTGGTCTACTTGCTAGGCTAATAAAATGGCCACACAAACCGCCGCTGCCCAGCATTCTTCCCACTAACACCAACAACCCATGGCGTGTTTGGCAGAGGATCCAGCACATCACTAACTACAGGAGCAGCAGCTCAACGGTTGATGGTAATGCCTCACTGACAGAGGAACTTAACTGTTTCTTTGCTTGCTTTGAGGTGCAAGCAACAGAGACTTATTCAACCCCCCCATCAGCCTTATTCATCCTCACTCTGCACAATTGAGATGGAAAGCTCCCGGTCCAGAAGGAAAGTGCAGATCAGCTCTCAGAGGTCTTCACAAAAATCTTCAACCTGATCCTGACCAAATCCATCGTCCCACCTTGCCTGAAATCTTCCACAATACCACTGCCAAAGAAGAAGAACGCCATCAGTGCCCTCAACGACTATCATCCGGTTGCACTTATGCTGCTCATCATAAAGTGCCTTGAGAGGCTGGTTCTGCAACACATCAAAACCAATGATTCAATCAAATCACAGACAAAGAGACTGAAAAACAGTTTCTACCCCACAGCCATAAGAGAGCTGAACTCTGCTAAATACCTGACACACAGACTGTTTGGGACCTGAAACATTCACAATGTTTACAGTTGTTGACATCCACTGCAGTGCACCTTCTGTACATATACTAAATTGCAGTACACATACAAATTTACTATGCTGCTAAAATATCTTCTGTACTGTTTTTACATTTAAATTTCACTTCTTTTCTACACTTTTTATTTTTTTATTTTTGTATTTATGTTATACACCTTAAGGATTGCTGCTAAATTTCGTTGTACACTGTGCAATGACAATAAAATGATTCTATTCCAAGTGTTACACGATAAACCTGATTGATGGAAAGAAAATAAAGTTCTACTCTAAAACACTGCAGGTTTGAGTTTGATTTTAGTGAAACAAATGATGTGCCTACTTTGGACTTCAGACAGTTCTTGAAATTAAACCAGGCGAGATAATTTATCTTTGGCACTCTAAAATGTGAGTGGGCCCCAATTTTGTCAAATGTGTCTGAAATGTCAGATATGTTCAGTGAACGACTGATTTATTCTTTAACAATTTATTGTGTTTTATTAATGCATATGTGTTTTATTTAAAATGTCAATCTTAAAAGCAACGTGCTGTAAAATAACGTGGTGAAAATACAATATTCCCTTTTAATGTAGTGGTTGAAGAGTGGAAATATGGAGATTTTATTCAGCAGCTCATTAACGAAACAAAACAGCAGGATAAATTCTGGTATTCTGACTAAAAACTCACTGAAAGGCTGAAGCAGTGGAAGCAGCGGTGTGACGTATTCTCGGTGTTGTTTTGTCGCCCCCTCCTCTTGGTTTCGTCCATCCTGGCTCGCTTGAGCTGCGGCTCCTCAGCCTTCATCTCCCTCTAATGCTGCTGCTCATCGGGATGATGCTCTGCGGCCGATGGCCCGCCGGTTGACATTTTTAACCGTCAGATCCCCGGGATAATTATGGATATCTTATATTTTCTGTGGATGCTGCCAACGGTATGGGCTGTGGAAGGTAAGCTGGCGTTCGTCTCCTGCTTGACTGTGACTGGTTGAGTGTGTGGACGCAGAGAGGCAAAGCTGTGCTCCATCACTCATAAAAAAAGAAACGACACTGTGGTGGAAACAGTCGTGTCGGCCTGGTGTTTGAATGGCGCTGTGTTAAAGCTGCAGACATGTCACCAGGCTCAGCTCACCTGATCCTCCTCTTTGTTTCTTCTGATTATATGACATATGTAAAAGCTGCAGGGAATATCAGGACACACGCGTTGTCACCAATCTGCTCAATATTATGGTCTATTAAATACCACTATCATCATTATTAATAAGATATTCATTTTACAGCAGTATTATATATTGTATTAAATAAGCCAACTGTGTTTGCAATAGTTGTGTGTGTAAATTAATGATTCCAAATATATATAGAAAAGAACATAAGGTTTTAAATGAGTCTGGTTTGAATTTATAATATTTGTGTAGTAGTGATATACCAGACACAGAGGACAGGCTAGAATTATCTTACATAAATGCAATACATAAATGCAATGGCTGTTTGTCCATGTATCATAGCTGTTGTAAATGTCTAGTATATAAGTCATAGTACTCTATTTAAAAGTCTTGTTTTTACAGTGAGCCAACATAACATTTTATTTTGTTTATTTTAATCCCAAAATATTTCCTCTACCTCTTAGTGTATAGTATTACTACAATGCCTGTTCTATGAAGCAGGATTTGTGGGTAGTAATCTTTGGTTTAACTCTGGTGTTTTCTATATCACGAAGTTTGTTCGGTGTAAATTACCATGGTAACTGACATGGCACCTCTAACCTGCTCTGGAGCAGGTGATGGTGCAGACAACACATCAGAAACTATCAACTGCCCTGAGATCCTTCAAGTGTAGCTGATACAAAAACTACAATGCACATCTGACACAACTTTTCTATATCTGTTAAATACGAGGAGAAAACTCACAGCTGGATTAACCTTGCCAGAATGGATTGTGCTGCAATGCAGTGTCTCCAGAATGGATAAACATCAGTTTTAATTGTGCCTACTATCTATGTATAGATCCTCTTTGTAGGTTTTCCAACAAACCTATCAGTTTCCACCGGAGCATATGGCTGACGTGTGTTGTCCAAAACAAAATGAAGCAAAAAGTGTGTCCTCCAAAATGGTTGATTTTACAGGTTTATTCGCAAAAGTACAACAATTAAAAAGCATAACATTTCCACGAGCATTGTAACTAATGATACCTGTCCAGACACACTCCAAAACAACGTCTTCCTCGATTTTCAACACAAATATCTACACGGTCAAAAAAAACGTGTGCCCCTGTCATTCTCCTGTGATCCAGATCCACACACCTAGTTCCTTAACACCGTGCGTTGAACAGCTACTTTCTTAAAGGTACAGGTCCTTATTTTTATCTGCTTCACTGAAACTAATAATGACATTAAACTATGAATTATGAGTGTTAATGTAATAATAACTAAATAATAATAATCATGACTTCAATTAACTTATTTTTAAATGCAATCAAATTATTAAACCGCCATGAAATCCAAATAAATTCTCCATCATGAACTGAAATTTATTATGAATTATTCATAAATCATATGGCACCTATACTCTTTTTTAATCAAACAAATTCTTAACACCAAGATATTTTTAAACAGGCAGCCTCAGAGTCCCTGCATGTGTAAACCAGGCTTTTCTGACTGAGTTGATGTAATTACTGGGAAAGAAGACTCTATTTCACGATATCAGTGGACTCCCAGAATAATATTCCATTGAGGGATCAGACGAATGAAGAACCTCTTCTTGCGGTATATGCATTGGTTTGATTTTGAACATTTGTTTGAAACTGAAATCAAACAAAACCATTACCAGAAAGAAACTTGAGGAATAATGTGACTATGAAGATCACTGATGATGTTTAGAACTGTAACACTCTGTGACAGGCTGTGAAAACAGCTGTGTAATGGAGACTGTCCTGTGAGCCTGTGGGATGTCTGTGCAGTCACTTATTATGACCCAGTTTTGTTTTACTGTTAGACGACCTCTAGTGGTTGAACTAACTATGAGAGAAGGATGGCAGAGGATGTAAAGAATATCGACATAAGAGCGACAAAGTCCATGTTGGGAGGAGGTCAGGGTGGATGGGTCAACATGAGACAAAACTTTTACAGAGGAGGACATTGTCTGTTTCCTGTCTCTAACTACCAGTATTTTGTTTAGTATTGTAACAATTACAACAAAGATCCTCGAAGCTAATGGAAGTACATATTTTAACCTAATTCATTGATGTATTACCTTGACAACAAAGGTCCGCTATGCCTCCTGCTGGTATGCTTCTACAAGTCGAGATGTTGTTACCATGATGACAAAGGTCCAGCTCAACTGCTGCTGATACAGTCCAAATGGTAATATTCAAATGTAGAGACAAGTGACCTAAATGGTCATTTAAGGTGGGGGACAGAAGAAGAAGGAGTTAGTATAATTAATTTGTCTGTGTCTCTGGAGTAGCTTTCTGATGATTTCACTATTGGAAATGTATTCTGTATTATTGCTGCTTAAAACGTTTTGATATTTGAGCTGCTGCAGTTGAGACTAAGTTGCTGGAGTACTTATACGACTGTTATTTTAGGGAACTGAATGTAGATACATTTACAAAATGTAGATATGTAAGAGACATCAGCAAATAGAATTTCTCTACTGAACAATACCTGATAGTTCAGAGTTGAATAATTGTAAGTAAAGTACTCTAAAAAAGAACAAACCGCTATTGGCAGTGCTGGTTAAATATATACAACTGAACTGCTTTTATTAACCTTATTTTCTACTGATTAAGACATGATTAAAACACAGAGCTTGAGAAAGTTAAAATCCTTGTGTGACGGAGAAACTTAGTTTATGGTGGCTGTCCTCTGGTTGTGTGTACAGAGACCCATGGTGGCAGGCAACTTTGCCACAGTCTTCAATGTTATGAAGTAGCTACACTTCACACTAGGGCTGTGAAAGATTATTGATACAGCTATCTCTAGGGTTGCCACAGTAGTTGGCGTTACCGGTGGTACATACCTATGACATAACTTGTCCATCAGCCCCATCTGTGGTAGTGTGAATAAACACTCTCTAATTTGTAAAATGCTTGATATCAACTCAGTCTTCAAGTAAAAGTTTTGGCTTTGTGCTGCTGCAGTAGTCACATCACAAAGTGACAAAGACTTATCAACATGTGAAAAGGGTGCTTTCTCCCCATTTTTCACTAGGCCCTGTCTCCCTAAACATTTGGTCATTTGATTATTATTTGAATGTTGATTATCGATTAGATTATGTAAATAATATATTTTGAGTTGTGTGTTGTATTGTTTTACAGTATGTACAGTTTATTTTGTTTTGTTTGTGATGTTGCTCTGTTTGATTGTTGTTTTGCCAGGTATGTGGGGTCAGATCAGCAGGGAATCGGCGATATTGGTTTATTTTTTATTTGCCTGTGATTGCTCTGTATTACTGCTCCTTGACCTCAGTGCCGCATTTGAAACCATTGATCATAACATTCTGCTTAATAGACTAACGCAATGCATCAGCATATCTGGAACTGCCCATAGTTGGTTCAAGTCATATCTCTCAGACAGACAAATCTCTGTTTCCATTGGAAATAACACCTCATCCTTGGCTCCACTGATGTGTTGAGTGCCACAAAGTTCCTATTTTTGCTGTACATACTCCAATTAAGAAACTTCATCAGCCATTTTACATTCGACACCCAAATATTCTTGTCCTTCAAGCCAGACAGAGTCAGCCATGTGAGTGTCCTAGCAGAGTGCCTATCCGCCATTAAGGAATGGATGTCACTTAACTTCCTTCAGTTACATTCAAATAAAACTAAAATAATAATATTCAGTCCCGACCAGCTAGCAGGCAGACCTCTATCATTTCTTGATCCCCTGGCAGCCAATCTTAAAACAACAGCTTAAAATATAGGTGTCACATTCGATTCTCATCTGAATTTCAAAACACTATAATCACATCATTAAATTCTGCCACTTTCATCTACGAAACATTTCTAAAATCAAATCAGCTCTGTCTCTTACTGACATAGAAAAGCTAATAAAAAATGTTCCGGCCTGGATCATTGCTGTGCCCTTTATACATTCCTCGTATTTTAACAAAAACAAATCGTGGGGCTCATATCACACAAATTCTTGTGTCCCTTCACTGGTTTAACTCAGGATTGATTTTAAAATTGTTTAGATAACTTTTAAAGATCAACGTGGGCTAGCCCCAACCTACATTTCGCAGCTCTGGACTCCTGGTTGCCGGTTGCAACCTGAGATTGGTCAGTCTGTCCATGTTAGCTGTCCCTAGCTCAAGACTGGCTACTCAAGGTGACCAGGATTTCTCTGTCAGGGCCCTGAGGCTCTGGAACTCCCTGTCTGACAAGATAAGGCTTGCCAACTCATTACCTATCTTTAAATCACTGCTTAAAACTTATTTTACAGGAGAGCATTTCTAACATGCGACTTGTAAGTATTTTTATTACAACAATCAGTCTTACAGAGTTCCAATGTGATGTTTCGGATCTCTCTGCCTCCCCCTTTACTTAGCCTAAAAGGCCCACTGCAGAAGAAGAGCCTCCACCCACTGCATTTTCCTCCAAAGCAGTGGCTCACCAAATACAAATGGCAGTGCTTTTCAGATGACAAATCCATGTTCTAATTACAACAAAACAGGCACATCTATGCACGAATCAAACAAATGCACCAACTATCAGCACTTGCCACGTTTTATACAAAGAACATCAGTCCTGCCGCAGTATTCCTGCTCAACAAAAATAATTAGAACAAAGCCAGGTGTAGGTGGACAGTCAGCAAGAGCAGTGCTGGTGCTGTTATGAACCAAATGGCCCAGGAGGAGATCCGCCTGTCCAAGTTTGAATCATTACACAATTTTCTGACAGTGGTTGGTGTCCCAGATCTCATACCTCTGCAGCAAAAAGCTGTTTCATACAGT